GAAAAACTTGCCCCGGATTTTTTTTTTTTTCCCCCCCCCCCCCCCGTTAACCCTTCACAAGCCCGGGGAGACCAGTGTTGTGGAAAGCCTGGCACTGCTGGGCCCTGTCCTGGAAAATGCCACTAGGTTGGGGGGTGACATCATGGGGAGGTGTGATGATGTCACGCAGAAGCGCGATGTCCCATTGCTGCATGGTAACGTCGCGGCAGTGACCTCATGGCAACCCAAAGATAAAGATGTGACATCATGGGGAGTTGCGGTGTCGTTGCGCGGAAGGGCGATGTCCCATTGCTGCATGGTGACATCGGGGCAGTGACCTAATTCAGCCATGCAGCGATGTAATGGCCAAAGATAAAGATGTGCTCCTCAGTTCAATGGGCGCAAACAGCAGCAGCTTTATATCGTGTTTCTTCAGCAGATCTGAGGATGTTTTACCAAAAAAACCAAATAAAAAGCAATAGCATTGTCCCCATTTTGCAGACAGGAAAACTGAGGCAGAGGGAAGGGACACTGCTTACCCACCTCATCTCAGAAGCTGAGCACAGAATAGGACCCAGGTGTGCTGAATCCCAGGCCAATCAAAGCAGGGATCCTACCTGTAACGGGGGAGTGCTGCTCTTGAAGGCAGAGGGTCCCCTCCTGCAATGCTCTGCCTGCATGCACAGCTTGCCCTGCGCGCTTTTCTCTCTGCAGGACGCAGACGGAGGCTGCTCGTGCTGCCAGGGAGTGGGGCAAGTGCTATTCGTCCAAGAAACCCCAGCTGGAGCCTGGGGGAAGGCAGGTTGGCACAGCACAGCCGTGCAGCGGCCGCAGGGGGTTGTTTGCATGGGTCTCTAATCCTGCCATGTGAGGAATGCAAGCAGCTCGGGGATTCCCAGCTCCTGGAGTGGATCTTGCAATCTGCTTTTTCGTTTGGGGGTGTTTTATACATGCCTGGTGTCTAGGAACCACTGGCTGGCTCTGCATGAGCTGCAAGTCCTGCTGACTTAAGTCAGTGCATCCAAGCACTGGTACAGGGGGCGGTGGGTATTTTAAAGTTGCTTTTCTAGCTAACGTCTAGTTGCTCTCATCCATTTCAGGTCCCGGGCCTATTTTGGAGCCTCCCCTCCCCTCCCCTCCTCTCCCTTGCTGTTTTCCCGTGGATGTTTTAGCCCCGGGAAGTCGGCGGACGGATGCCTGACTCATTTGAAGAGACCCCTTTGTTGCGTTGCATTACTTTCCAAGTTGCATTTGAACAGCTTAGGAATAGTGCATATTGCAATCTTTTTTTAAATATTACCTCTTTTCCTTTCTGGTTTCCTAGAAGCCTCCCCCTTCGGTATGGCAGAGGGGGAAACCCAGAGACAACTGCTCAAGTTGATTCAAGAAGGACGATTTGACCTTTTCAGAGGAGAGCTGCAGAAGGATGAGGATCTGGTCCAGGCAGTGAGGCGGAAACACTTTGGGAAATCCAGGGACACACTGCTGCATTACGCAGCCAGGCACGGTCACCTGGACACGCTGACCCACTTAGTGGACACCTTGGAGATGGACATTGAGATGTGCAATAATGACTACAAGCGGCCCCTGCACGAAGCCGCTTCTATGGGCCACAGGGACTGTGTGCTGTACCTGCTGGCTAAAGGGGCCAAGGTAGACTGCTTGAAAAAGGCAGACTGGTAGGTCACAGGCTCATTTGGTTGTACTGTTTGAGAGGGACTGATGCAGAGTGGCTGGCGTGCAACCACAGGCATCCTAAACTAGTTCTGGGCTTATCCCAGGTCTCCCCCTCACATGTTAAAAAGCTCCAGTCTCTCAACTCTTCACACCTTGGTTTTCCCCAGGCGTGCAGATACTGATGAGTAAATTAGACAGACATGCCTCCATCACAGACCTAAAATGGGCCTTCATTAGCAATAGCTAGAAAATGCATACTCTCTTCTGGTGAAAATTCCCATGTGAAGGGGGACTAAGCATTGGACTAGCCTGTTGGAAGGGGACTAAGCATTATTCACCGATGTGGCGCAGGGAATGGATTTCCATCCCAGGAAGCAGCCGAAAATTATTACTGAAGAGTTAATGCTGAAATAAAACCATAAATAGGAATGATTGGCCGAATCCTTACCATTACAAATCGGTAGGCGGTTTAGTGATGCCTGACACCAACATAAAGGGAAGCGGGGGGAGACAGAGGCACAGCATGTGGCATTGCTAGATGCGAATATATTGCTGTCAGCTTTGTATTCCCATATCACCTTTTGTCCACAAAGACTCCAAGACCAATGGTCTTTACTTGCTTGTCCAAAGGAAGAGTCAGTGCACCGGTTTCAGTCTCTATATATAACACGCATGGGTTAGAGCAGAGAACAGCTGGAACTACAAAGGTATTGGTATCAACAGGACACGGGTACCTAAATACCTCTGTGGATTTTATCCTAACTCGCTGCCATAGAATTAGTCATGTGAATATCAAAAAGCCTGGCCTGGTCTTTGATAGCCATGAGACTCTTGAATTTTTGGCAATAACAGATGAGTTGCCCAATGCAGGGATGAGAGACAGCAAAGGTAGCCAACCTGCGGTACGTGTGCCACAAATGGCACAGGCAACTTGTGTGTGTGATACGTGGCAGATCAGGGAAGGGGCAGGCAGAACAGTGGCGGATGGAGCAGAAAGCTGAGCAGCAGACTGGGTAGGGAGCAGAAAGCAGAATGGGGGATTGGGTCTGGGAGTACATGGCAAGGAGCAGAAAGCAGACCAGCAGATCAGCTATGAGAGCACTGGACAAGGAGCAGAAGGCAGACCAGCAGAGCAGGCGTTGGAGTACCGGGCATGGAGGAGCAAGCAGAGCAGGCATGGGAGCACACATCAGGGAGTGGTGGAGCACATGGCCAGGAGCAGAAAGCAGACCATCAGATCAGACACGAGAACACCGGGCAAGGAGCAGAAGGTAGAGCAGGCAGAGCACGGGGCGTGGAGGAGAAAGCAGAGCAGCAGATCAAGCACAGAAACACAGGGCCGGGAGCAGAAATCAGAGCAGCTGATTAAACAGGGGAAGAGGATCGGAGAGGTACAGTATTCAGGGAGGTCGGGGGCTTAATCTGTGGCACTCCTACCAAAAAGCCTGGCCTCCACTGAGACAGAGAAACAGGGGCCTGGCGTTGTCGCGTTCCATGAAATTCTGTACATGTGTGAAGTCAAGTGTGCACACAAGTGATTTCAGGTTGGGTTTAGCAGGTGGCACCCAAAGTCAGAGCAAGACTGATTATTCATTTCACTTTGTTCATGGAGTTCACTTGATTACCAAACTTGGGGGGTGCATGCTCTCCACATGCCATTCATGACACCAGCCAGGGGGGAAAATACAAGAATTGCCCTTCCCTCCTGGATCTCTTGAGTATATTTTAACAAATAACTTTTTGCCCCTGCAGCAGTAGGACATTGGCACAGCCTTCATCCCTTGGCAAGCTATAGGGTTTTTTTTTTGATGTTTGGGACATGATGCCTGGTAGATGTCCATGGGAGTTGTTCCTGAAGTATTTAAGAATTAAGACAAATATATGACTAGGATTGTTTAAGGCAGGGCAGGGTGGTCCTTTTATAAGCCAACATATTCAGAGAGGCATGAGCTTTTGCAGGTTAGTCTACTCTGGCAGATGCTACGAATCGACTCGCAGAGGGCGGGGGTACTAAATAGGAAGGAATCAAATCATGGAAATGTGATTTTAGTCTGGGGCAATCCTCCCTGGAGCAGGAGGATGGACTAGATCAGCGCTTAAGTTCTCACCCTTTTCAAGGGTATCGCGCAGTGTCAGCTTTCCTAGGCATGCAAACGTGAATTGAGATTTCAAATAGGGATTCTTAGTGTTAAAAGCTTTCTGACCTATTGTGCAATCTTTCCGAGCTCTCTGTCCCAGAAGAATTGCTCTGTTACTTTTTCTGGAGTCAAAAATGACTGAAAACCATAGCTGGCATTTTCCAAGGGGGGCCTTGCGGCTAATGAGGGGTGCCTTGAGTCTAAAAAGGGTGAGAACCGCTGGACATGATGCTCCCCGGAGGTCCTTCCAGCCCTACTTTCACATGATATTTCATGTCTGCTTCCCACTGCACATCCCCCTTGCCTCATTTAAAAGCCCGAGAGGAGAGATGAATGTGTCAGTGTGTGAAAATAGGAGAGGCCTTCTTGCTTAGGACGCTTAAAATGCCCAATCTCTGAAATATGCCTAACTGGGGATAATCCATTATTGCTGGGGAAACGGGACAGATGAGGGGTTATTTTTTTTTCCCCAGAGCCCTAACTCAATTTTATTTTTTTTTAATAAACACTAGCCTTGTGCTTGTCACATAGAGCTGCCAGAAACCTCTCCTGATACTACTTTAAGGGTTTGTTCCCTTATAATTTTTTTATGAGTTCATCGTTTAAAAACCAATATCCATCTGGCCTGTATTGCCTCTAAAATGACCGCTGTCCATCAAGTTGAGGTTACGGTGTGGTCCATTTAAATTGGCAGGCGGATGGGGTGAAGGACTTGTGTATGGCAGCAATTGTAGTCTTCCACTCCCATTTGCCAAGTAAGGGACTGGTTATGGAAATAGTCTTTCCAGGACACCCTCTGGTCTTCCCAGCGGGAGGGACACAGCCTCGGAGGTATCTATTATAGATTTATTTCAGGAGCTCTCCCAAGAGCAGGAGAGAATTGCATGCTTGTGGGTAGGGCTTGGGGCTTTCTGGAGGCTTCCTGAGGCTTATTAAGTCTTTGTCTTGCTCATACGAGGTCTCCCCCACCATGAAATTAGCCCATCGCTGAGCTAAATATGCTGATGGGAGGGTTGGCTTGGCTTCTCTGCTGGTGTTGCAGTCTGGCTAGGGAGACCTTTCTGCAGCAGAGGCTGTAAATAATACAGGGCCTAAAAGATAGTGTCTTCTGCGTTGCTTGGAGGACACTAGAAATGCTTTAAAAAATGTGTTGTGAGGCTGAAAATGGGAGGATGGGGTCCCAGGGCATGCGAGAGTCCTGTCGCATTGGCACCTCTCTCGTGCATGGGGAATGGCAGCGACTGAATAAACGCAGGGAGCATCGTGCCGATGTGTTGCCTAGGAAATGAAGGTGACGTTTAAGAGCTGGCTACACTGGCTCGTGTGGATTGGGAAAATGGGATTGTCTGACTCACAGTTTGTTATCTGCAGTTCCAGTTGTCACCTCTGAGGACAGGAATGAGACTGCGGGGAAGGCAAGGACCGATGTGACCCCAGCAGGTCAAAGACAACGATGTCTTGAATGCATGCTTCCTCTCCTAGAGTGGAAAGCAAGCATGCTTTGTGATGGCCTGTCGGGCTGCTTGGATGCAGGGAGACGAATTTCCAGCGTCAGCACTTTGGCGTTGACGCCAGTGCACTGTGTACAAGCGCCCCAAGTGCTCTGTTGTAATGGCGAGTTTCAGCCAGCTTAAATGTAGTTAGGCTCAGCTAGTTCAGTCTCCAGGCTTGCCATGGAAAAAATGATGCTCTAGGACTTGCCGTGAACGGGTTTGTGGCAGGGGATCAAAGAGGCTGGTCATCAGCTGGGGTAAAGACTAGGGCTTTTGCTCCTTAAAGGAGGCTCTGTGAGTTGACCCAAGTTTTTCCTGAGCTTGGGGAGGTCACCTATCCTGTCTGGCCTGCCACAAGAGGGCAAACGGGATCCCATTCATTGAGTCAATACATTACACCCAGGCTGACCAACTAGACCCCTGCTTGACCACACTGAACCTTATACCACGCTTCAAATTCATTTATTGCAGCTTTGTAGCCTGGACTTAATGGAGCAGCCGGTGTTATAGCAAGGTTGCATTGTGTTTATCCTCCCTTCCCTTTTCCAGGACACCTCTGATGATGGCCTGCACCAGGAGCAACATGGATGTCATCAAAGATCTCATCGAGCACGGAGCTAACCCGCTGCTGAAGAACAAAGACGGCTGGAATTGCTTCCACATCGCCAGTCGAGAGGGCCATCCCCAGGTCATCTGGTACTTGCTCGCTGTGGCACCGAGCAGCTGGGACACAGAGAGCAAAATAAAAAGGACGCCTCTGCACACTGCAGGTATGGATCCCACTCCTCCTGGCCCCGGGAGAGCTTGTGGGTCTGCAGAGATTAGGAGAAAGGCTTTGTCTTCGTGGCTAACGGGGGCATGGTTTTGGACCCTGGGGGGTACCTTGCCTGACCCCTCCAGAGGTAAAAACACAGTAAAAAAAAGGCACTTAAGTTTTACTGCAAAGTAACTTCAGCAAGATCAGCACTGTAGCCCTGCCTGGAGCTGACCTCGCCACTTTTACCTCCCAGTAAAACAAACTTGCCTTTTCATCCCAGTCTTTTTTTCCCCAAGGATAGACAAGGCATGTTGGTTATTCCAAGCACATCTCTTTTAGCAGAGAAGATAAGGGTTAATGCTGTTCGGAGGCTGAATCTCTGAAGTCACGAAGTGTCCTCAGTTCCCATTGAGTTAGGTGTCATGACGCCCAACAGTTTGAAGAGGTAATCAGTGCTCTTCCTGGTCTGATGTGGGATGACAAGATGGGAAAAGCTGTCTGAACTGAAAGGGCAATTTTAGCTCCGTGACTCTTTCGTTCGCCCCACTACATGCTTCCCTTCAGCTTTCCTGTGGGCTACTGGGCATGCTTCATAGCCCACTGGTGGGCTACCCTGCTAGAAACAATGCTGCAGATAACCCCAGGACGGCAAATGTCCCATCATTTGGGACATCTGAAATTAGATCTTAATCCTCTCGCCTACCACCCATCTCCATTTATCTCAGGGATGGGCAAGGGATTTTATCCAGCCCGCAGAGGGTCCCTTGGCCCCCACCCAGCCCAGGTGCGATGGGCAGCCTGGGGCATGGCTCACGCGGCCAGTCCTGCTGCCCTCAGGAGTGGACTTGGACTTGGCTTCCCAGCAGCCCTTGCGGCGCCAGTTCACTGTGCCTGGCTGCCGCTGCCAGTCAACCCTGCACCCACTGCCAGGGGTGCCAGACGGAGTGGGTGCGGGGGGTCTCCAAACGCTGAGGTCAATAACTTTTGCACCACTAGTGTCTTGCATTAGTTGGGATAAATCCTGAGCAACCGAGATGAGTTTGGGGAGCGTCAGAGCCGTATGTTGAGTGTTTGCAAGAAGCATGGGGAAAATTTGACAGCTCAAGCTCAATCTTAAACCTCTCAGCCCTTCTTTAAATGGAAAGTAGCACTCCACCTTCACTCCAGCAGGGCTGGTGCCCTCTTCTCTTGTGTGCAGAGCGTTCTGAGAGTTGCAGATGCAGGGAGATGTACTAGTGCCAACTGTTATGATCTCACATCTGAATTAAGACCATGAATTTCAATTACTGGAATAAATGATCACTCCGTGGCTCCAGTTGGAGGGCGGATGTGTTTGTAATTACAGTTCAGAGCTGGGGATGCTGGTCCTGTCTCTGCCACAGATTTCCGGTGTGACCTAGAGCAAATTGCTTTACCTCCCCCTGCCCCAAGTCCCCATCTGTGACATGTTGGTGATAGTATTTTCTCAGGCCACATGGGTGCCATGAGGCTTAATTAAGTATCTGCAGTGTCCTGTGATCCTTGCAATATGCAAAAGAAGTGCAGTTTATTAACATAACCTGCATTCATAATGGCAGGCTGTTCCTCTCTCAATAGCTGTGTTGTGCTCCAGGTGTCCTTGAAACGTTATGCACATGGTGAGGATGCTGCAATCAAAGATCAAGGCTCTGTTGTAGGGCACTGAAAACCCATAACACAAAAAGTCTCTGCCTCAAAGAGTTTACAGTCTAAGTCTGAGACCAGACAATGGGGAGATGCCACAAAAGGCAGGAAGGGCAGTGTAACAATCAGGCGGTTGTGATCAGTGCTGTTAAGCGGTGGTCACAGCACACCAGGTTCATTGTTGCGCTGTCACTGTTGCAACTAAGACTTGCATTCACTGGTATTTTCTACATGCCGTGCACTCTTCTTGCTCTGTGATCTGTGAGCTGAGGAATCAAAACATTTGATCTGAATCCTTAATCAAAGAGAGGGAATAGCCTGAATTAATAATCTGTGGGGTTATTTTTACTTCTTAAAAATGACTGGAAAAGGAGGGGAAAAAATAGGGAAGCATCCCCATTTTGCTGCAGTGTGATAGATAAAGAAAGGTTTTTCCATTTGCAATTCAGATTTTTCTGCCCTATTTTTCCCCTAAGAAGGACTCAATGGATGACTGCAGAGCTAGTGGAATCATGACTCAATTAGCCAGAAAATGAGATCGAAGCCCAAAAAGGGAGGGCAGTATTATTCAGATCATTCAAAACTGTTTGTTTTGTGTTGGTTTTGCTGAATCTCTGTTTAAGTTAGAGAACGAACAAATACCCTGGGAAAAAGATTTATTTGCTGAGATTCAGGATATACAATCCCTCCATGCACACCACCCTGAAGAAGGCAAGTAAACCTCTCATTCTGCTTTTTTCCTCCCATTTTATCTGGAGGTTTCCAGAAAAAAAAGACTGTTTTGGTCTTTCTGATTGTATCTAAATAAAAAATACAGGCGGGAAACTTTTTTGGGGGGGGTTCTGTATACATCATACTTAAGCCTAGAGGGGTACAAACCCAATCGGTAGGTTTTTCCTTTGTAGGTGGGAGGATGCATGCAAACATGAATTACCATCCACTTCCTCTCTCTCACAGCAATGCATGGCTGTTTTGACGTAGTGAAAGTGCTGCTTGAGCGGTAAGGGTGTTTCCTATCTTTGTTTTCTGCATGCATATACATGTGCATGTGCGCGTGTGCACGCATACGCGCACACACACACACACACACACACACACACACTGTCACACTCTCCTCTGCCAACCCTCTCCCTGCCACCCCCCCATCACAGGACCAGGCGTGCTCCAGATGACACGGACACAAAGCACATTTGTGCCATGCAGCAATCCCAGCCACACAGCTGCTCCTTCTTGAGCCCTAAGAATATATCAATTGCCTCTGGCTTTTTCACAGCCAATTACGGCGATTTGAGACAAATTTATTCTCTGAATTGTCTTAGACGTCACTGTGCTGTGAGCCCCCAGTTATGGACGTTAGCGGGCTCTTTATTCCTCAGCTCAATCACTTGGGTTGCCTTCAATGGGTCCGAGTCCTTGCGGCAACCAAAAAGAAAAAAAAAAATCCCTTGGGGCAAGTTTGTGCCTGGTGTAACATCCGCAGGGATAATGACCCATCCCAACTACTGCCTTTGTGCATGGCAGTGAGAGCCACCGTGCGGCAGGGCTAGGGTTCATCTCATGATGAGGACTGACAGCGCATCCGCCATCATCGTGCCTGCTCTGCTCTCTTGCCATTCAAGGTCCCGTCTAGTTTCTGCCCGGGGCTTTGAAGCTGCACTGAATCGATCCATACCCAGACATCCTGGCCCCACCTCTTTCCTGATCAGCATTACCCCCAGTAGAGTTGCATTACCTTTCTGAAAGATCCCAAGCAGAGGGGAGGATATATCCACATCCTCACACCTCTCTTGGTCCTACTAAAGCCTGGTTTCCAGTTGGCCTGAAGTGAATTTGATCCGTCACCATATTATTGGGCCAAAGCCTCTGTTTTGGGCTTCTGCTAAGAACACTTTCCATTCACTTGGATGGGAGTTCTGCCTGTGCAAGGATTTGGCCCACAATAATGATGTGATGCCACCGGTCTGGAATAAGGGCAAGGCTCCTCCCCGTGCCAATACCATGCTTGTTGCCCTTGCATGTCCTATGGAAATGCTTAAGTGGGGCAGAGACTTGCTGTTTCACTGTGTGAGGGTGAAGCTCACCTCCCAGGAGTTGCACCACCCAGAGAAGAGCTTTGAGCCCCAAATGGCCCCATGCCCTCTTGTTCTAGTCGGCCCTGTCTGCACATCTAAAGCCGTTGTGTTACAGCCACTGATAGGCCTCAGATGCACCCCTGCGGGTGCATCTACATGAGATGCTTAATGTGCAGAAGACTAAATCTACTGCACATTAGCATGGCAGGCAAACCCTGTGCTAATGCACAGTAGATTGAGTCTAATGCGCATTAATGTCACTTTAAAAAGCGTTCATCTACACTAATGTGCAGTAGTGCCGATTATGGCACATTAAGTTAGTACCTGTTTATTACAAGAACTCAATGCGCCATAATTACAGCACATTAATGAACGTGTAAATGCACTCTCTAGCTTCAACTCCAACCCCATTGCAGCCCAAAGGGCTCCAGTGAATTCAGCACTCTCTTGTTTTATGTTCTCTCCCAGGTGCCAGTACAAGCCTGACAGTCGGGACAATTGTGGAATCACGCCCTTTATGGATGCAATACAGAACGGGCATATAGATATAGCCCGGCTGCTTCTGGAAAAGCACAAGGTACACTGACTTCCTTTCGGGGCCGGGCACCCAGAAAAGGGGATGTGATTAGCTGGGAAAGACAGCTAAATCTACAGACTTTGCTTAGATTGATTCCCACTGGAGGTAGAAAGAGAGTTGGTCCAGTGAGGACTGAGTGGAAAAGTGAGCAAGAGTCAGGGTTTGACGTATGGCAGGTTTTCACTAGGGGCTGATTGTGAGTCTTTTGCTCCCTCAGCAAGGAGTTACCATACAATTGTCGAGGCAGTCAGAGAAGCCTAGTCTGTCCGTCACGAGCCTTTCGCCATCAGCACATCTTATAAATATTAGCTAAATCAGTGGTGCTTGATCTCCTGCCCGCAGGCCAGATCTAGCCCCAGGTACCATGTCACCAGCCCACGGGTCCAGAAATGGGGTGGTGGTAGCATTAATTTTCACTCCCCTGCTGCCAAATTTGCAGACCATAGATGACGCACCCCTCTGCACTAGATCATCAGCCAACAGTGGGGCAGGTGCATGGGGTGACGGGAGAGGATGTATCGTTCCTGCTTTACAGACCAGGAAACTGAGACCCAGCAAGGGTGCAAAGGGAGTTGGTGAAAGGCTGAGATGAGGAACCAGTAGTAATTTTCTCCCTCTTCCAGTTCATTGTCTGGCATTTCTAGATGTGAGTGATGCCCCAAGGCTGATAGCACTGGAGACATCCTGGCCATTTCAACAACCATCTGGCTATAAAGGCCATTAGCTTCACCCACCCATAACAGCTGTGGTTCCCAGCTTCTCCCTGCAGCAACCCGGCATTTCCTTTGCAATGGCAGACATTATAGAGAGGCTGCTAGATCCAACTGTGTGTTTGAAATAACAGACTCTCCACTGCTTATTTTGCTTTTGGCAGCTATGGGTCTGAAAACTTAAAAGAACATTAAAAAAAAAACCTCTTTAAAAGGGGACTGGACAAATGCAAGGTGGATGGGTCCAACATGACAGCTAAGGATGCAGCATCCAAATTGGGACTTTTAGGCCTCTTAATGCTGGGAGCTGTAGGGGGAGAGGACAGGTCATGGATGAAGGCATTGATGCTGTTCCCCTCAGCACCTACTCTGTACCATTGTGAGAGACAGGTCTGTTTATTATATAATAAAGGGCCTAGACCTATGATACAGGGGTACAGGGTGTAGCTGTGTTGGTCTAAGGACACAGGCAGACAAGGTTCATCAGGGAAATCCGATATCTTTTATTAGACCAAATTTGAGTCGGTCTAATAAAAGATATCAGATTTCCCCAAAGAACCGTGTCTACCTAAACCTAAGAGGAATTTCAAGCCCCTCTTGGTATCTAGAGGGAGGTCACGGGGTACAGAGGTGGATGGACCTCTGGGATGACCCAGGATGGCCTCTCCTATGGTCTTAAGTGAAAAGGCAATGGGCCTCAGTAGAGTTGTTATAACTCATGCCAGTCTAAGGAAGAGGAAACCCAAGCTCTAGCCATGGTAGAGGCACGATAAAAAAGCTATTGCCTATGTCCAAACTGCTCCAACACTTTAACCCTGCTGGGTGAGGAATTTTTTCTGAACGATGTGCTATGTTTTCATCGGCCTTTTAGGAACAGGCAGGCGTGTGGGGTGCACCGGGCGCTTAAACCTTCCTGACCATCTGGCGTTGGTTTCTGTGTTCCCCTAGGCCTGCCACACGGCAGGGGATGCCCTGGGGGCCCAGCCCCTGCACCTGGCAGCGGTCACGGCGCAGGATGAAGCCATCCGGTTTCTTGTCTCGGAGCTGGGCGTTGGCGTCGATGAGAGAGCAACTTCCCTCCGGCTCACGGCGCTCCATTACGCGGCCAAGGTTTGTCTCCTTTCAGCTGGGGGGCATATATCAAAATAGCTGCAGTCCTGGGGGGCTCTGAGGGCTGACACAGGTGGCACCATCATTTGCCTGGCGATGGGCACCAAAGAGGAGCTGACCTTGGCACGTGGTTGGAGTTGCCCCAGCCGCCTGGGAGCAGTATTAATGCTCGGATGGAAGTGCTGGCTCATTATTTAATGGGAGCTCTGGGTGCCAGCATCTCTCAAGAGCAGGCTTGCAGACTGATGCTAGGTCCCTCTGCTGCTCGTTGGACAGTTCAGGTGATGGGGAAAGAAACTCTTGCTCGAATTTCCTCCTCATTCGGTTCCCACCTCTCTGGCAGCTTGCAGCCCTGCAGGTCGCAAACCACCCCTGATCCTCAGCAAGGTCCTAAAGCACCTAGTCATTTCTGGCTGTAGCCCCATGCTGCACAGAAACACCCGCTGTGGTTTTAAAAAGCCAGTCCTTTGTGTCAATGGGTCAGTTCTGGCCAGGTTTGTAGGGTTTGGGAGCTTCCTACACCCTTTTCCGGGCCCTTTCCTCCTTCCTCTGGCCCACTTGTGAGGATGGTGCAAACGGGGTAGAAGGGTTGAGCGTGGGCCTTTCCCTTCGTGTATCACCTGGGCACACAGGACAAGTCATATTGCTGTAGTGGCTTTATTGTTTCTCCAATGGGTCCTGCTCAGGAGCTGAGCCACCTCCTGCAGATCTCTGTTATGCACGTGTTAGCTTACAGTAGCATCCCTGTTATATGAGGGTTTTTTTTAATGACTCCCAAAGGGAAACCACTTCCTTGGGGACGTCACAGTGTCAGAAACATTACCCTGCAGCACTTAGGGCAGCCCCAAGGCAATGGAAAGGGAGGTTATCCGGAGGGAGCAAATGCCAGGACAGGGCTGGCTGGCCCGCTGGTGCGAGAAGTGGATTAGACTGTGTTGGGATTGTGCGCCCAGCCTAGCCCGATAGCTGGAGTGAAATGTGGCTTTCTCCCTCTGTTACAAACGCCTCTGTGCCTCTTCCTGAGAGCGCTGGCCCAGCTCAGCGCAGCATTGGCACAGGATGGCCCCCATACAGGAGCCCTTTCTCCTGGCTGCCCGTCCTTGTGCACCAAGAAAGGGCATTGAAAGCCCTTCTTGTACTTCTTACAACAAGGCGATGGGGGAATGCAAATGTGCCCTTGGAGAAGTTCCCAGCTTGGCTCTTGCCGAGGGTTGCACAGCCTGATTGGTAAAAGCACTGATGGGTTTCTGTGCTTTTGTCAGCACTGATGTCGCTTCACATTTGCGGTGTAATTTGTTTCAGGTCGGTTTGATTTGGGTGGGGGTGGGGTTTCCCTCCCTCTTTTATTTTTTGCAGCTGTAAATACGTTAGAACGAAACGATGCTTTCAACTCAATTTGCAGCACAGGCAGCTTTAGGTCAAACAGCTGCTGGCGCACAGTTGTTTTGCATGTACGGCAGCGCATTCGGTGCTGTGAGCAAAGGGAATGCGCAGCCTGCGATGCAACTGACTCGGATGATAATTGGGAAAGGGAGCGCAGGGGGGGTGGGGAGGAAGTGAGATCTGTGCTTGCACTAATTAGCCGAGGTGAAGGAGAAATTGCCAAAATGGGTGCAATCATTTAGTGGGAGTTCAGGGGGGTGGGTGGAGAGGTTTAAAATATTTCCTGGAGGCATCTGAAATGAGCTGCTGTCCCCAGAAGAGGCAGAACAGGGTGGATCATTAATCTGTATCAGTGAGTCAATCTCTGTATTCTTGTGAAGCACAAATACCATATCAATCCTTTGGAAAATGCCGGTGCTGTGCAGGCTTATGTCAATGGAGAGAGAATAAATTTGGATCGATTGAAAGCTCCCCCTCCTCCACTAAGGGGCACTTCTAGATCTCTAGTAACCACAAGAGGTTTACAGCATGGGAGAAAACACAGTACCTTAATGAAGCTTATTCCTTTTAACAAATCATGAGCTGCTGATGTGTATATCATATAAGGAAAATCAGGGATCTGAGGGTTTTGTGTAGGGAGCCCATAAAAGCAATTTGATTTCATTATTTGATCCTAGATGTGGACTGGCTGGGAAAAGGCAAGATTAGCTGACAGCTTCAATGCAACGATTTGCTAATAAAGAAGCATCGTCAGGCTCCAGGGTTATTCTCCATTAACTCCTGCCAGTCCACGCAAGCATGGGGCCTCACGGGGGCTACAGGGACAATTCTTTCATGTCCTTGGGACAGATGCGATCCTCCCATCCTGGGTGCCTTAACTTCCCCCTGAAGGTCAAGACCAGTTAATAGGAGTCCTGGAGGCATTGACAGACTTCAGGGGCAAGGAATCGGATACACAGGGATCTTCCCCTAAACACTGTAGCTTGGGCCCATCGCGGTTTCTAAGTCTGGGCCTTTCAGGGTTTATCTGTGTGTCACCGCAGCTTGCAGTGTTAGACACACGCCCGCCCAGTCTCTCCCACACGCCATGCATGCAAAAGACCCTCGGGCATAGGCTTGTTTGCACATTGACTGCCCTCCCCACCCTGGCCGCTTGCACGATTGGGAATATGGGAATAAAGTATAGCCTGAGCTGTACTTTAGCTTGTGCTGCTTGGCAGTGTGGATGCAAGCAAAATAACTCAAAGGCCAATAGCCCTCCTAGGTCCTTCCTTCATTGCCCCTCCAAGGGGCTATAACTGCCTGGAAAAGCCTGGCACAGAGAACCACAGAGCATGCCCCGAACGTGTGTGCGAGGGCAGAGACACAGGCCACAGTGACGTGGGGATGGCTGTGCAGCAGGGATGCTGGTACCTGGGCTAGGCAAACGGGAGTGTTTAGACCTGGGAGCCAAGCACTGGAGCTCACTGTGCAGTGTGGACATAGCCTGAGCGGCCACCTCTTTCCCTGTGGGATTGAGCGGTTTTCTTCCTTTGCTCACTTGGCAAATAGGGCATTCAGCTAAGATCCTTCCTTGCGGTCCCCTTAGGCCCCTGGGCTGGCCTGCCTGCTTCCTATCACTACCTGCATGACTGGGATGGCCAATCCAAAGCAAATAATTGGGGAAGATACGCGTCCTCACCCCAAAAGCTGAGGGCTTCAGTCTCCGGCGTCACCAAGCCGGGACCTGTCCATAAGGGCGAGAGGAGGGGTCTTCTGCCTTCGACTCCAGCTGATTGCCAATAAGCGTCTTGATGCCCACCTTGCTGGAGTCATCTGACCCCAGGAGTCTTTCCTGCCCAAGTGCAGCGGGGCTGGACCCGATGATCCTGTAAGGTCCCTTCTAGCCCCTAACACTTACCTGTTGCTGCTTTCACGGGGACCGGGAGGCACTCAGCACTTGGCACATTTGGGGCTTCGATTCTCCCTCTCTCTTGCAAGCTATTGCCTGTATCCTTAGCGTTGCACCTGGAAACGGCTCGTCACGAAGCATCATCGTTTCAAGGACTGTCCTTGGACTGAGCTCCTTTCTTTGTCAAGAGCCTGTGAACAGTTAACAGGAGCGTGCAAGCCCAAGGAAAGGCCTGCAGTTCTGCCAGCAGCCGCTGGATCTAGACAATGCCCTGGCAGACCTCAAGCAGAAGCGCTGATTGTGGGCCAGGTCATCCACGTGCTGTGGCCTTTCTGCCTGGCCGTGGCAGCACAGATCATCTTGCATGGGAATGGCTGTGAATTGGCCTGGCCGTGGCAGCACAGGGCAGGGAGGATCATCTTGCATGGGAATTGCTGGGTTGATTAGAGCTGTCCATAGAGCTGGCCACCTACGGAGGAGGAGGAAGGTGCTGCTGTGCTTCTAGCTAAAGCAACAGGCCATTGAGGCCACAGGCAGCCAAGAGTAATTTCCTGATGTGCCGGGGGGCCCTCAGATCCCAGGAGCTGAATCTCCCTCTCCTATTACCCTCAACTGGATCAAAAATCAGGATCCTGCACTGAATCTTTCCATGGGGTGTGCGGTGTTGACCATGTGCCACCCATAGAGATTCGGTAAATGTTGATTCACAGGCTTTTTTCCTATTGCACACTCCTGCACATTTATAGGAGATGCCAAACTGGGAAGGGTTAAAGGGCTGCTTTGGCTGCAACAGATCCGCAGTAAACGTTGTTTGTGCTTTTCAATGCAGGAAGGACACGCAAGCACCATCCGAACGCTGCTGTCCTTGGGCGCTGACTTGCAAGCCAGAGATGGGAAAAGCCGATCGGGTAAGGACTTGGGATCGTTTCCTATTTGTGTAGCCGTACTTGCCACTTTTGAAAAAGAGATGCCCTGTCTTCCTCTTTGTGACCGTACAGGGCACAGGCTGAAACCAGCAGCAGGTGTACGTAAAAATGGCTTGTAACTTTGTCGGTGGAATTTGGATGCGGTATCGAGCCGCTGCAGTCAGTGCATTGAGTTGGGGACACCACCTCAAGAATGGCAATGGGTGAGGTTCCCTTTGCATTCAGTGTTTCTAAGAAGGGAAGAAATGGGTTCAGCCACTGTCAAAATGGGCCATTTATGCAGCCTTCGGAAATGTTCACAGTGACCCTACAGTCTTGCATCTGCAGCCATCGTGAACAGTGCCTTAATCTGCCTTTCTCCCCATGCCTAGCCTACACTATGAATTAGGGATATTCAGGGTCTCTTTGACCTACCTGTTTGCCATGGTTTATAGCAGTCACATGCCAGCCTTTTCCCCATGTAACCCCATGGCAGGGAAGTCCAAACATCCCTCAGCTATTGGGATGTCTTCTGTCCCAGGAGCTGCAAGGCTGAACATCTCTTGCAAGACCCCGGGTGCCTTCAGCTCCCTGTTGATGTCACTGGGAGATGAAGGCTCTCAGGACTTTGCAAAAGACACTGTGGACCTTGCAGGACTGAGCCAAGAGATGAGGTGAGGAAGGCTGGTGAACCCAGCTATCCAAGACTGGACCATATTCCCAACTTAGCAGCTATGCTGGGACCAGAGACAATCCAACTGGTGCACTGAAACTTTCTTTCTCAGCACCCGAGACCCAGTCATGTGCTCGTGGACTGTGCTCCAGATCCCCGAGCTGGCCTGGACTGGCATCATCCCTTTGACATCCACAGAGCTACTAGCCAAGGACATGCACCACTTATGAATTAGTTGCCGTCTATACAATCATCCATGTCATAATTTAGTTATGCTCACAATACAAACCTCCCCCCTGACCTTTCCCAAGATGATACAGTTAGTTTCTTCTACCTGGGGCAGCCTTGTGTTGGATGGTGATACTGGGCTGTGGATACAGGTGATACTGTGCTTGGACGGAGGGTACTTTATGGGAAAAAGCAGCCCCAAATGAACAGAAATAGTCTCATTTAATGTCCCGCCTTGTGATATACTGGGCTGACTCCCATGCTCCTGGAAGACTCATCGCCACATCCAGCATCTTCTGGACCCTTTTCATTCAAACCAAAACTCACTTGCAAGTAACAAGGGCCGGAGGCCTCTCTCACTCTGCTGTCAAGTTGTTCACACAAAGGACTGGGAATTAAAGGAATTTAATTGGGCTTTAACCACTGATTCAGTGTGTGACCTTCCAGGCGAGACACTTGACCTTTTTTCCCCTAACTCAAGCCCAGATGGAAAACTTAAAACTAAAACAGGGACTTCAATGAAAACCA